CCATACCACCCATTAATAACAACTTCTTTTGCTTGTTAATAATATTCAAAATATCGGCAACCAAACTTGGGTTCTCATGTTCAGGAACATTTGAAGTGATCATAGCAGTAGGACCTACAACCAACGGTGCTAAATTTTGATAAATCACGGATTGTCTAATGACAGCGTTTAGGACTGATCCTCGAACCATTGTTATATCAGCTCCTGCATATTTTAGATCATGGCGAATTGTTATTTGTTCTTGAGCATTTAGATTGTTGTGCTGAGCTATGAAGAATAATCGATTAAAATGAAGTTGTGCATAGTATAAATTAAAGAGATATACTGTGTGAAGTGGAAAATCATTGCCGTATTTCGTTTTTAATTGTTGAGGTGCGTGTGGAGGGGGGTGTATGATATTTGTTAGGCGTAACTGTTGTACGTAATGGTGAAAGTAGAAATCTAAAGTCGACAACCGGTGAAATATGAAACTCCCTGGTGAAATGGCGAAACCTCGATGAAAGACGAAACTCTCGGCGAAAAACATAAAGTTTAACGAAAGACGAAACTTCTGAACTTCTATTAAATGATAAAATCCTAAGAAAGATAAAAGGCTGAGCTATAGTTTATAGTTAAAGCAATTTTCTGTGATTATTGTTGGCATTTAATTCATCATATTATTTATTCATCATTAATATCACTAATTATATTCAAATGAAAAGGTACATAAAATAACTTTTTCTCAGACAAATAACCGTTTTTTTCATAAATTGTCTTGATTTAAAGAGCATACTAACATTCTTCTTTTTTTTTTTTCTTTATTTTATCTAGACATCGGTTGAAGAGTTGTACAGTATCGGTATTGTTACATGCATTGTTGCTAATCCCTGTTAATATGCATTCCATATAAACTTGATTTATCTAAAATAGGATATCGCGAGTCCCTCACAGCAGGGGCTATGTAAGATAAATCGAATCGATGTTTTTCTACGTCCATGCGGCTAGGACAAAACCTGGCAGATTTCTTGCGTGTAAGTTAGCAACTTTGAATTAAAATTTCTTATTATAAAATACTCGTGTAACCATATTTTCCATCATGCCTATGTACGAATCTTTAATGGACATAATTCATTATTTGATTCCATTATTTCTAATTCTAGCATTTTTTGGTCCAGGGTACCAAACAATATCGATATCAATTTTTGGGTGAATATGGTTTTCTTTATCTGTATATTATTGCCGAACTGTCTCAATTCAGTAGCTTATCTCATTTTATTGTGCCAACAGTCTTGGAACAGCACTACGTAGCATTTTTAGGATCTTTAAATAGAAATGTTTCTAATTGGTTATTCGAATATTTTTACTTGATTGGTTTTGGAACAAATATTTTATCAATTATTTAGTCTATTTTTTGATAGACTGGCTTAAAATATATTCGAAGGATGGCCCAGATTTATTGTTTTTCCCTGTGTTTGTTATTATAAAAACGCACTATTATAGAAAGCGCACGACTTATGATCATCTTGACAACAGGATTGTGGACGATACTTCTTATGTTGGTTTCTTGGGTGATCTTATTAACTACACGCAAGTATTTTTAATATTTTGTACAACAATTTGTTGCATCAGTAATTATAGTCAATCAAGAGTGAAGATATATAATAGGAGTACTCATGCGGAGAATTATAAACTTTTTGAATTTATATTATCTATATCAATTGCTATATTTATGTTGTTAATCCTATTTTTTAGATACATATTTTTGGGAAAATGAAATGAAACAATTCACTTCATTTGCTGGGTTGGGTGGGTTAAATTTCATTTATCCTGGGCGGAACTGTAGGTGCTTACATGATTAAGGTTTGGATATCGTCCAATTTCTGTAATGAATTTGACATTTTGGAAAGTGTAAGCGATATTTCAGGAAGCGATAGTAATCTCCCGATTTTAGGGAATAGTGGTGATATGTCAACTATTATTGTTATTTGAGTGGTTGTTTATGGTTCAATTAGATATTCAATAATATACATTCCATTCTATCAACGAAATATTGAGTCATACTCTGCAAGTTCACTTACTACAGTTGGATGTTTGATTGGCTCCGAAAAAGACTATGAAAATAAATATTATATTAATCGGACAGAAAAATTGGTAGCAAATTCATTTTATGGTCCGAAGCTGTAGCCTTAGTTACCAACATAAGCCAATATAATGACCTTGAACGCGAAATAAAGAATATATCACAAATTTACAAAACCTATATTGGATTCACTTATGTTGATGCATCAATTAATGGGAATATATATAACAAATTAACTGTAGTATCACCAAATGGCAATGTTTTAAATAATTATGCCAAATCCAATTTAGTACCTTTCATAGAAAGTCAAATAATAACTGCTGGACCAAATGTTTTGCAAACTAGTGTTACTTCAGATTTTGGTATTATTGGAGGCGCAATTTGTTTTGACTATGATTTTCCAAGCCTTATTGGTCAAGCATCAAAAAATAATGTTGATTTCATGATACAACCTTCAAATACTTGGGTAAGACTATAAATTGAAATATTTAATTGATATTTACATACAACACTTGTTTTTAATTTTCACTTTAATACTATATCATTACATTAAGGGTAATTACGTATCTATATAAGTTTATAATGAAATGTTCATCTAAATTTCACACATTACTAATTTCGTTATCGTTATTCTTTTTCAGGTCCAATCGCTGCTTATCATTTTCGTATCAATTCAATAAGATCAATTGAAAATGGGTTCACACCAGGGATGGTAAATGACCTGGTCATATGATCAAAATTTAAATGACCTCTAGTCATCAAATAATGACCAGGTCATTTGGGTCATTAGGTAATTTAAGTCATTTACATGTGAAGTATCTAATAATAACGTGTGCACTTTCTATAAAGTTTCCTGACTATACATTGCTAATTGAACTTTTATATTTGAAAGTATTAATATCATAGCAATTTTAATTTTATAATTTAACTGTAATTAATAACTACTAAGGGTAGTGCTTGGATCCAGCGGACATCCTATATTTTTCAAAATCCACTGGATTTTTGATATCTGTCAAAATATCCGTAATATTTAAACTCTAAATTGTCATTTGTATGTATACTTATTGGATGTGAAATATCCAATAACGGGAGTTATTGGATGTGTAACAGTTTTTATTTTGAGGTTAAAAAAATCATACTGTGATCCTACGGATCACAGGACTTGACAAATAAAAAAAACGTCTGACTTTGAATTTAATGTGCTAACCTGGGGCCTCAGCACATTAAATTCAAAGCCAGATGCGACTGTTTATTGATGTGAAACATCCAATAATGGATTTATTTTAATAAATAAATCAAACGAGCTTATGTCACACATTGATCCGGTTTATTTTAGGGTTTATTTTAAATCCGGTACGGATTCAGGATCAATGTGTGAATTTCACGTGCATAAAATTTTATGTCGAATAACAAGTTGTAACGGTAAATGACAAATAGTAATTTAGTCTTTCTAACGCTAAATAAAATACAAATTTGAAAGGTTTATTTTTTCTTACGTAGCATTGAAAGACCTGTCTATACACATAACTGTTATCGTTATATCAAAACACTTCCAAAAATAAATTGCCCAATATCGATATATCCGAAATAAATCTATTGATAAATTATACAGTATTTTTTTTTTGCTTATTTTATCTTTCATGTTCTGTAATTTAGATTTCAATCGAATTTAAACCATTTTGATTTGAGAATTTTGTTGAAACAGAAAATTAACATTATCATAAAGATTCAGATCTGTGAATATAACAAAATTGTTGAGGCAATAAATATATTTTAATTATTTATGTACTGTACAGTACGTACAACTGACAAAAAGCTATCATTAACCTGTTAAACATTTAAAAATCTTATTCAGCAACTATGGTATCAGCAACTATGGTACTGGTACGAATTCCCTTATATATGTAACAATAAACAATGACGAAAAACCAAGGTGTCAAATGCGCAGAACGAAATTTCTGTTATAAAAAACGTTCTTCTAATGCTGTATCAAGAATATAAATTTCTAAAGTTACGTCAGATCGGCGTGGAAGTCCGATTTTGCTTGACACAAAAGAATTTACCAGGTCTGAGAACGGACTTTTAAACACTAACGAACAATACTTTTGGCATTTCCTTTGGCATTTTCCGTTTTAAATTTTTCCAATTAATTGTTTTTATTGTTACGCCATCTATAATAAAAAAGAGTAATTGTATTACACAATGTACCAAAATTATCAGCTTCGTGTATTAAAGAGTTAGGTTGGGGTTGTGAACTAGTTCTTAACAAGTTCAGGACCAGACTTTTTAAGGACCGGACCTAGGCCGGACTTTTTTAACATTCCTTAACTGTTAACCTGGTACACGTTTTCCGGATGCCCAATCAACTTAAACATGTATCAATTTATAATATCTTATGCCACATGAATTTTGTGTTGCCCAAGTTGGTTAAAAC